TGTGGGGGGGCGGGTGTCGATATAAATAACCGGGGCCCGTCACCGAGCCCGAGTTAGAACATGACACGGGCGGGGGCGGGACGGGGCGACCGCGGCGGCGCCCCAGGACCCCCGGACCCCCCGGCAGCGGGGTCACCTCGGGGGTCGCCGTGACATCAAGACTAAGAGCCCCCGCCGCTGAGGGAGGCAGCCCCCCACCCGGGGCAGGGGGGAAAATGGGGTCGCTGGGGGGGCCCCGGGATCCCCTCAGCCCCGCGGGGACCCCGCAACTCCGCCGGCCAACGCGACCCCGTCCCCTCACGGAACTCCAGGCCGGGTTTTCCGGCAGCGGCTCTCGGGGCGGAGGGAAAGCCTGGAGCCGGATCCGCCGGCACGGCGGGAGCGGACGGGACGGCCGCGGCTCCGCGATCGCGTCCCACGCGAGGCTCGGGGGACAGCCGGGACAGCCCCGGAGCCCAGCGCGACATGCGACCCCCGAGAGTTGGGGGGAAAGCCCTCCCGCCCCCCCACGGGACGTGGGTGCCGCCCGCGCAGGACCCGCACCCACGGGGCAGCAGCGCCGCGGGCCCGGCCCCCCCCGCCGGCCGGTGACTCACGGCGCTGGCAGGGACCGGGCTCGGCGCCTCCAGGCTGGAAACTTGGACCGGAGGCGGCTGCCCACGGCCACGGGCTGACTCACAGCCCGGAGGGATCGGGGGAGGGGGGCCCTCACCGCCGCCTCGGAGCGACACCACAGCTGCCCCGCCCGGGGGGGTGGGACACCGGACGCCCCGCACCCCCGCCGGGTCCAGCTGCCGCCGATCGTGTGTCGGGATCGCGTGTCGCCGGGGAGGCGGGGTTGGGGACCCCCCCGCAGCCGCAGCCCCCTCCCCAGCGGCACTGCCCGCCCCAGCTGCCGCCGTCTGTCCGACCCACCCAGGGCCCGGTGGGGACCTCGGGGTGCAAAATCCCCACGGAATGTGTCCCCCCTGCCATGGGCCCCCTGAAGCGCTGCTCCCCACGGCACATACCCCCCCCCCCCCCCGCCCCCCGTGGCACAGTGGAGCCCGGGAGGGTGGCAGCAATGCCCCGGGTCCTGTCACCCCACCGGCCTCTTGGGACCCCGGGAAGCCACCTCACTGCACCCCAGCCCCCCGTGATCCCCCAGCGACCACTCCTACCCAGAGCATCCCCGTGGGGTCAGGGGGGCACGGCGAGGAGCCCCCCAGAGCCCTCCTCGCTCCCCAGACAGCACAGGGGCCTGCAGGTACCCCCACCCCATCCTGTGCTAGGAAGCACGGGGGGGGTTTAGGGAACCTTAAGGACTTGTCATTGTCCCAGACCTCCCCCGGCAGCAGCGGGGCTCCAGTGCCCCCCACCCACGAGAGCACCAGGAGCACCCCGAGGCGCTGATTGGTACCTGCGGCCGGGGCGGTCTGGGGGGGCTGATGGCCCACCCCCCGCCCTGCGCTGACGGCGACGCCTTCCACGTGCCCCTCGGCCCCGTCCTTCCTGCGGTAGAGCCGCTCAGCGCCGGCAGGACGAGCCCGGTGGGTGCCAGCGCCCGCCGGGGCGGCGGCGCGGCGGGGCTCGGGGCGGGGGGCGGCGGGGCGCGGGACGCGCTGCAGGGAGCGGGGCACCACGTCGGGCGGCAGCCGCAGGTACTGGCGCAGGTGAGCCACGCCGGCGTCCGTCAGGTACCAGTAGAGGTGTCGCCAGGCCGCCGTCTGGCGCACGAGGCCGCGGGAGCGCAGCGAGGCCATGGCTCGCCGAACCTCCACGTTGGCCACGCCGGGAAGCTGCGGGTGGGTGCGCCGGGGGCAGCCGTCCCGCTCCCCGACCAGGACACCCTCGCGGAACAGCAGCTCCAGGATGGAGCGGAGCCGCTCCAGCGGCATCAGCATCCCCGCCACCATGGCTCGGGCAAGCGGGGCTCGCTCACAGCTCCGCAGAGCCCCGGCAGCGCTCCGTGTGGCACTGCCCGGGCTGCTCCAGCACAGCCCGGTATGGCCCGGCACAGCCCAGTACGGCCCGGCACGGCCCAACTCGCTACGGTCCGGTACAGCCCAGCACGGCTCGGGTGGTCCAGCCCAGCCCAGTACGGTCCAGTTCGGCCCGGTACGGCCTGGCACAGCCCAGCGCAGTCCGGTACAGCCCCGTATGGCCCGGCACGTCCCGGCGCGATCCGACGCGGAGCGGCGCTGGCTGCCGGCACGGCGGGAGCGGCTGCGGCTCCACCCCCGGCCGGGGGGGTCAGGGGGGGCCCCAGGCCCAGCCCTGACTCACCACCGGCCCCTCCCCGGCCCCGGCTCCCGCCCGGGGGGGGCACGGCCGGAGCCGCCTCCCATTTCCCCCCCCTGCCCCGACCCACCCGGCCGGTTCCTGCGTGGGAACCCCCGCGGGTCCCGCCCCGCCCCCGCCCCGGGACCGGCCCCGTGGAGTGCCCGGGGGGACCCTGAGCCGGGGAGGGGGGTGTCCCTGAGCCGCGGGGATCCTGGAGCCCGGCGGGAGGGGGACACCGAGCTGCGGGGGTCTCTGAGCTTGGGAGGGGCACCCTGAGCCTGGGGAGGGGTCCTGATCCGCGGCTGTCGCCGAGCTCGGGAGAGGACCGTGAGGCCGGGGTCCCTGAGACGGGGGGAGGCCCCGGGCAGCTCCGGGCTCACCGAGCATCCCGCGCTGCAGGCAGAGCCACGGGCAGGGTCGGGCGCGGGGACGAGCAGGTGCGCGGGCACGGGCGCGGGCAGGGGCACAGGCAGGGCTCGGCAGCCACATCCTGCCACGTCAATGTTTGCTCTGCTCCTGCCCCTGTTTGTCCCGGCGTCCCCATGGGGACCCCCCGGCAGTGACACAGCCCCGGCGGTGGCACAGCTGTGCCACGCCACGCCCTGCGGGTGGCAGGTGGGGACGAACGAGAGGCAGCTGCCACTCCCCCGAGCCCCCCGGCACCGAGCACCGCCCAACAGCCCCCAGCGGCTCCGCGGGGACCCCAGCATGGCCCACCGGCACAGCAGCGGGACCCCCAGCACCGCCGCGGGGGTGGGAAGAGCCCCGGAGATCCCCGCCCCCCCTTTTCAGGTCCCGTGTGAGGGGGTGTGGGGGTGTCACCCCCACCACAGAGCAGGAGGGACTGTGTGGGAGGAACTGGGGTGCCAGGCTGTCCCCCACGCTGGGGGGGTCCCTCACAGACCCCAAAAGGGGAGGAACCCCCCGAGACTCCCTCAGCACCCCCTGGCCAAGCACAGTGAGGTCGGGGCACAGCGATGCTGCGAGGCTGCTGCAGGAGCCCCATCCCAGGCGATGGGATTTACTGGGATTTACTGGGATTTACTGGGATTCACTGGTGGGGAGCAGCGTCCCAGGCATGCGGGGCTGCTGCCTGTGGGGTGCCCGCCCCAGAGCTGCGGGGGATCCCAGAGCTGCTGGGGGTCCCAGAGCTGCCGGGGACCCCAGAGCTGCGGGGGATCCCAAAGCTGCGGGGGATCCCAGAGCTGCCGGGGATCCCAGAGATGCAGGGGATCCCAAAGCTGCAGGGGATCCCAGAGCTGCAGGAGATCCCAAATCTGCCGGGGCCGATGTTCCTGCACTGGCGTCTCACAGCCTTGCACAACTTCCCCATCCCGGAGGGCAGAGCGCCGTGGCGGAGTGGGGCTCCCGCTGCGAGAGCCCCAGCACGGCTGGTGCAGCGGCACCGGGAGCACTGGGGTGCCCAGACCCGCTCCGAGGGAATCCCTTGGGAGAGCATCAGGCGCCTGTCCGAGCCCCACCACGGCACGCTGCCCCCACGGTGCCCCACAGCACCCCAGGACCCCAGCGGGGTGGGACAGGCGGCAGGAGCGAGGGGGGCAGCGGCCGGGGGTGGAGGGAGGGGGAAGCGGGGCAGGGATGGGGACAAAGGGGGGCAGGGATGGGGACAAAGAGGGGCAGGGATGGGGCCCAAGGGGGGCAGGGATGGGGACAGAGGGGGCAGGGATGAGAAATGGGGAGCAGCAATGGGGGAGTGATGGCGCCCGCGATGGAGGAAGCACCGGGGGCATCTCCAGGGAAGTGATGGGGGCAGAGCCCGCGGCAGCGATGGGGGGCAGCAGGAGCGTGTCCCCCTCCCCAGCCGCGCCCCCAGCCCGGGTCACGGCCGCGCCGGCGGCTCCATCCCTCCGGGAAGTGCCGCGTCAGCGCCCGCCGCCCGCCGTGATCCAACGCGATGTGACAGCGGGGCCGTGGCCAGCGCCCCGCCGCTGCCCCGCGCCGGGCACGGCGAAGCCAACCCCGCACCCACCGGGGACGAGCCCTCCCGCATCCGCGTCGCATCTCGGGGCCGGCCGGGAGCAGCGCGGGGGGCTGGGGGCACCCCGACAATCCCGGTCCTGTGCACGCCATGCGCCCCTCACCCCCGCCCCATGGAAGCCTCGGGCGGGCCCCCGAATGTGGGGCGGGCAGCGCTTGTGGCAGCGGCTTCTGGCCGCGGGCCCGGCGCTGCCGTCCCGGTGCCGGTGCCAGCGCCGGTGCCGGTGCCAGTGCTGGGGTCTGGCGGGGCCGCCGGGCTCCCCGTGCCCAGCGGAACAAAGCGGCGGCTGTTTGCGGAGGGCACCGCGGACAGAGGCTCGCTCATAATGAGGCCGGTGCCGGCGGGGGTCCCGGCGCCGGCGGGGGTCCCGGTGCTGGCAGGGGTCCCGGCGCCGGCAGGGGTCCTGATGCCGGGGGGGGTCCCGGTGCCGGCGGGGGTCCCGGTGCTGGCAGGGGTCCCGGTGCCGGCAGGGCTCCCGGGCTCACCGTAAATCAGCCTCCTTTTTCTCACCGTACATCAGCCTCGCCGCAGCCCGGGCTCTGCCGGAGGGGACACGACCCGGGACCCCCTCTCTGGGGCCTGCGGCATCGCCACAGCCGCTGGGCGCCCTGACCCTGCCGGGACCATCCCGAACCTCGCCGGGACCATCCCGAACCTCGCCGGGACCATCCCCACCCGCCCTCGGCCCGCCCCATCCCCACCCGCCCGAGGTCCATCACGACCCCCGCCGCTGTCCGTCCCTCCCGACCCTCTCTGACTCCACCCTGAGGCTCCCGGGCTTCATCGCGACTTTCCCGGCGTCCCTCCCGTCTCCCGCCGGGTCCATGCCGACCCTCGCCGGGCTCCGTTCCAGCCCGACCCCGGCCCGGCTGCTCGCTGCGCTGCCGGGCCCCGCGGTGGCTGTGTGCCCGCTGCGGTGACAGCGGGGCCGGTGGCCGCCAGCAGCCCCGTGACCGGCATCCGCCGCCGCCCCGTTACTCACGCCCCAGCGCTCCGGCTCTGCACCGCGGCTCGGTAACACGGCACCGCCACGGCGGAGCCTGCCGGGGGCCACGGCGGCACCGAGGAACTCTGAGTGATGCCGGGGCGTCCCCGGTGACCCCCGCCCTCCTGCCTGCGCTGCGACATTGGCACGGGAGGGATGCGGCGCGGCTGGGGCTCCCCGGGACGCGGAACACTCCCCGGGACGCGGAATCCCCGCCGGTGGCCGTGGGCCCGGCCCCGGGACCCCTCCCGGTGCCCCCTCCCCAGGTACCTTTGAGGGAGGCGATCTCGTGGTGGATGCCCCGCGCCCCCTCCATGGCCGCCCGCGTTCCCGCACGCTGCCGGCCGGTCCCGCAGCCCCGGGGCGGGTCCGTCCCGCCCCCCCCGCCCCCCGCCCCATTCCAGTACAGCCCCCCCAGTTCCCCCCCAGTGGGGCCATCCCCGGGGCGTGGGGGGGGGGGGTCTCAGTCCAGCCCTGCCCTGCCAGCAGTGCTGGGTGGGGGTCTGTCCCTCAGGGGGGCAGGGGACACCCCCAGCTGGCGCTGGCACCACCGTCTGGGGGGGCACGGTGCCAGCTGGGGGTGCCAGGCCACAGCAGGAATGGCCACTGCACTGTGGCCACCAGCCAGCCCTGGGGACACCAGGAGGGACGATGGCATGGCCAACATGCTGTGGCCACCAGGCAGCCCTGGTGACATCGGGAGAGACACTGGCATGGCCACCACGCTGTGGCCACCAGCCAGCCCTGGGGACACCAGGAGGGACGATGGCATGGCCACCACGCTGTGGCCACCAGCCAGCCCTGGGGACACCAGGAGGGACAATGGCATGGCCACCACTCTGTGGCCACCAGCCACATCTGAGGGCATCAATGACTGTGGCATGGCCACCAAAGTGTGGCCACCAGCCAGGCCTGGCGACACCAGGAGGGACAATGGCATGGCCACTGCACTGTGGCCACCAGCCACATCTGAGGACACCAAGGACTGTGGCATGGCCACCATGCTGTGGCCACCAGGCAGCCCTGGGGACACCAGGAGGGACAATGGCATGGCCACCACATTGTTGCCACCAGCCACATCTGAGGACACCAAGGACTGTGGCATGGCCACAGCACTGTGGCCACCAGCCAGCCCTGGGGACATTGGGAGGGACACTGGCATGGCCACCAAAGTGTGGCCACCAGCCAGCCCTGGGGACACCAGGAGGGACCCAGCACGGCCACCAGCCAGCCCTAGGGACACCAGGAGGCCACCACACTGCAGCCACCAGAGCCACTGGCCACCACACTGAGGACACCAGCCAGCCTCCAAGCCCCAGGGACATCAGGAGGGACTCCTGGATAGTCCCTGCACCGCAGCCACCATGGCCACTGCCGCCAGGAACCACCCCAGATCCCCGGGGACACCGGGAGGGACAAAAGCCAGCTCCAGGGACACCGGGAGGGACACCAGGAGGGACACCAGCCATTCCCCTAGCCCCAGGAGGGACAGCAGGAGGGACAGCAGGACGGACACCAAGGGGACACCAGGAGGACACCAGCCATACCCCCAGCCCCAGGGACACCAGGAGGACACCAGGAGGGACACCAGCCATTCCCCTAGCCCCGGGGACACCAGGAGTGACACCAGAAGGGACACCAGGAGGACACCAGCCAGCTCCAGGGACACCAGGAGGGACACCAGGAGGACACCAGCCAGTACCAGGGACACCGGGAGGGACACCAGCCATTCCCCTAGCCCCGGGGACACCAGGAGGGACAGCAGGAGGGACACCAAGGGGACCCCAGGAAGACACCCGCCAGCTCCAGGGACACCAGGAGGGACCCCAGGAGGACACCAGCCAGTACCAGGGACACCGGGAGGGACACCAGCCATTCCCCTAGCCCCGGGGACACCAGGAGGG